AAAAAAAAAAAAAAAAAAAATTTGCAATGATCTTGGGCATACTAAGGACAAAGAATCAATGTATCAAGAGACATACTATCTCTGTGATGGATAATTATGACAACTTTTCAACTAACCAATGCTCGTTAGTAAATACTTGCAATCACAATTTCACCTTGGATATAAAACTTCAACTTAACTATTTTTGTAACACCACAGGTAAGATGTAAAAGTACTGCACCTGAAGCAACACAAGACATTTTAGTAGGCACTGTTGAACAGGAGAAAGCTTCAATGAGCCACCCAACATTAATTTGTAATTAAGTATAAAAACAACCTTCATTTAGAAGTCTATTAACAAGGAAATAACATCAAGGACAATAAGTTAATAGTTTGCTCATGAGAATAACTTCACTCCTGTTCACTAAGCAGTCTGAAATTATTTAACAAAAATTTCAAGTATACTCCTACCTGATGTTAAATTTCCTAAAATTACTATACTGCTGCCCAAATTACAATAAAAAGCTAGTATTAAAATATTCATTTAATTTAAAATAGTCTATAAAATGCTAAATATAATTAAAAATTATAATTGTAATTATCATCTAAATCTAACATTGTGTCTCTAAATAAGATTTAATAAATTCTTACCTAGAAATTTTCTGTGACGCTTTTGAAATTGGTGTTCCAAAAAATGCCTCAGGCAGCCCTGGAGCTGGGAGTGAATACACTATAGGAGATGCTTCTTCTATTTTAGAACTACAAAAACAAAAATTTGACTTCTAATGTATCACAAGGAGCACTGATATAAAGTGGATGAGATGGGAGAACAAAGAATTTTTATGTTTTTACTTTGCATATTTCTGCATCATTTACATTAACAATGTACATGTCACTTTTAAAGGTTTAAAAAAAATTCTTCTAAGAAACACAGCCAACATAGTTTTTCTTTTTAACATACATTAATAAACGTAGGCAATGGGAGTGGATTGTTGATGAATGCTGTTGACTGTCCAGTAAAGATTAACAAGCAGAATGACTACAAAAGGTGTAAGAAAAACATACCTAACGGAAGGTGTGATGCTATTTATAGGTTCTTTGCTTGCCCAAACTTCTCCAATTTTAGATAACACATTGTTGATGAAAACAGATCTTGTCAACACAGTTCCTGTTACAACTTGCTTTGGAACTGCTGATAATGGTTTGGGCCTAGAAACTGTAAAATGAAGAATGGAAGAATGAACTGCATCTTTAACAAGATTTTAATAAAAGCATATGAAAGAATGATTAGGAAAAAAACACATTACATGATAAGAGTAGCTAAAATTATATTTGGTTTCTTTTTTTTGAGACATAGTCTTGCTGTCACTCAAGCTGGAGTGCAGTGGTGTGATCTTGGTTCACTGTAACCTCCACCTCCTGGGTTCAGGTGACTCTCCTGCCTCATCCTCCCAAGTAGCTGGGATTACAGGCACGGCCACCACGCCCAGCTAATTTTTCTATTTTTAATAGAGACAGGGTTTCACTATGTTGGCCAGGTTGGTCTCGAACTCCGCGCATCAAGTGATCCTCCCTCCTCGGCCTCTCAAAGTGCTGGGATTACAGATGTGAGCCACAGGCCTGGCCTATATTTGGTTTCATTATAGTTATGCAGGATTAACAAGTTGGCCTTTCAGTAAGCGGTAAAAAAAAAAAGTTATTCATTGTGTTTTCTAGAAGATGGACATTTGCCTTCAACTCAAATAAGAGTTCTTTCATTATGCACTACCCTAGTAAGAGTCAAATCTTCTAAGAAAGCCTTATATTTGCTGGGTTATAGAGCAGCCAGTAAAAAAAAAAATCCCTGTGATGAATGAGTACAGGTCTACCTCATTTTCTTGTGCTTTGCTTTACTGTTTTTTTTTTGGAGACAGTCTTGCTCTTTCGCCAGGCTGGAGTGTAGTGGCACGATCTCGGCTCACTGCAACCTCTGCCTCCCAGGTTCAAGCAATTCTCCTGCCTCAGCCTCCCGAGTAGCTGGGTCTACAGGCACCTGCCAACACGCCCAGCTAATTTTTTATTTTACTAGAGATGGGGTTTCACCATGCTGGCCAGGATGGTCTCGATCTCTCGACATTGTGATCCGCCCACCTCAGCCTCCCAAAGTGCTGGGATCACAGGTATGAGCCACTGCACCTGGCCGAGTTTTGTTTTTTTAAACAAACTGAAGGTCTGTGGCAACCCTGTGTTCAGCAAGTCTGCTGGCACCATTTTTCCAATAGCATGTACTTATTTTGTGTCTTTCAGTAATTTTCATATTTCAAACGTAATTATTATATCTGTTAGAGTGAACTGGCAACAGTGATCTTTGATGCTACTGTTTTTTCTTTTTTTGAGATGAAGCCTCCCTATTGTTAACCCCAGGCTGGAGTGCAATGGTGTGATCTCAGCTCACTGCAACCTCTGCCTCCCGGGTTCAAGCCATTCTCCTGCCTCAGCCTCCCAAAGAGCTGGGATTACAGGCACCTGCCACCACCTCGCCTGGCTAATTTTTGCATTTTTAGTAGAGATGGGGTTTCACCATGTTGGCCAGGCTGGTCCTGAATTCCTGACCTCAGTGATCCGCCTGCCTCGGCTTCCCAAAGTGCTGGGATTACAGGTGTGAGCCACCGCGCTCTGCCTGACGCTACTACTGTAATTGTATTGAGAAGCTACAAAATGCACCCATGTAAGACAGCAAACTTAATAAACGTGTGTGTTCCGACTGCTTCACCAACTAGCCATTCCCAGTGATGAGCTGTTACCCCATGAAAGCTCTCCCTTTCCTGGAGGACCTCCCTTATTCCGAGACTGACAATGTCCAAACTAGGTCAACTAAGAGTCCTATGAAAACCCCAAGTGTTCATGTGAAAGGAAGAGTCACACGGATATGACTTTAAATCAAAAGCCAGACCTCTCATGCCAGTTAGCCAAGTTGTAAATGCAGAACAGAACCTGAAGGAAATTAAATAGTGCTACTTCGGTGAACAAATGGTAAGAAAGGAAAACAGCCTTGCTGCTGCAATGGAGAAAGTTGTAGTGGTCTGGACTGAAGATCAAGCCAAGCTGGGTGCATGGTGTATGCCTGTAGTCCCAGCTACTTAGGAGGCTGAGGCAAGAGGGTCACTTGAGCCCAGAAGTTTGAGAGCAGCCCGGGCAACACAGTGACATCAAACCAGCTACACCATTCCCTTCAGCCGAGACTTCATCTCGGCCAGACATGGTGGCTCACGCCTGGAATCCCAGCACTTTGGGAGGCCAAGGCGAGTGGATCACTTGAGCCCAGGAGTTCGAGACCACGGTGGCAGGGGGCAAAAACAAAAAACCTATCCAGGTGCTGTGGCCCATGCCTGTAGCACCAGACAGTTGGGAGGCTGAGGCAGGAGGATCACTTGAACCCAGGAGTTTGAGGCTGCAGTGAGCAATGATTATCACTGCACTCCAACCCTGGCCACAGAGGGAGACTCTGTCTTAAAAACAAAACCTAATCTAAAGCAAAGTCTTAATGGTCTTCAGTTCTATGAAAGCTGAGAGAGGTGAGGACGCAACAGAAGACAAGTTTGAAGTTAGCAGAGTGTGGCTCAGGGAGTTCAGGGAAAGAAGTCTCTGCAACATAAAAGCACAAGGTGAAGCAGCAAGTGCTGATGGAGAAGCTGCAAGAAGTGACCCAGAAGATCCAGCTGAGATGACTGATGAAGGCGGCTACGCTACTCAACAGACTTTCAGTGTGGATGAAGCAGCCTTCTACTGGAAGATGATGCTATCTAGGACTTTCAGAGTTAGGGTGGAGAAGTCAATGCCTGGCTTCAAAGGACAGGGTGACTCTGTTGTTAGGGGTTAATGTAGTCAGTGACTTTAAATTGAAGACTATTTACCATTCCAAAAATCCTAAGGCCCTTAAGAATTATGTGAAATCTATGCCTGTCCTCTATCAAAGGAAAAAGCCTAGATGACAACACATCTGTTGACAGCATGGTTTACTGAATATTTTAAGCCTATTATTGATAACTGCTTAGGAAAAAAAAGTCTTTTCAAATATTACTGCTCACTGACAATGCACCTGGTCACCCAGGAGCTCTAATGACAGGGAGATGAATGCTGTTTTCATGCCTGCTAACACAACATCCATTCTGTAACCCATGGATCACAGAGTATCTCAATTTTCAAGATATAATTTAAGAAATATACTTCAAAAAGCTATAGCTGTCACAGATAGTGAGTGATTCCTCTGAGAGATCTAAGCAACTAAGCAAAGTCCTCTGAAAACCTGGAAAGGATTCACCATTTCAGATGCCATTCAGAAAATTCAGTTCATAGAAGGAGGTCAAACTATCCACTTTAAGAGGAATTTGGAGGCCGGGCACAGTGGCTCACGCCTGTAATCCCAACACTTTGGGAGGCCGAGGCGGGCGGGTCACGCGGTCAAGAGATTGAGACCATCCTGGCCAACATGATGAAACCCCGTCTCTACTAAAAATACAAAAATTAGCCGGGCGTGGTGCCATGCGCCTGTGGTCTCAGCTACTCAGGAGGCTGAGGTGGAAGAATCACTTGAACCCAGGAGGCGGAGGCTGCAGTGAGCCAAGATTGCGCCACTGCACTCCAGCCTGGTGGCAGAGCAAGACTCTGTCTCAAAAAAAGAAAAAAAAAAAAAAAGAGGAGTTTGGAAAAAGGTGATTTTATCTCTCATGAGTAACTTTGAGGGCGTTAAGACTTCAGTAGAGACAACAACTGCAGGTATGATGGACACAGCAAGAGAACTAGAATGAGAAGTAGAGCCTGGGTCAGGCATGATGGCTCATGCCTGTAACCGCAGTACTTTTGGAGGCCAAGGTGGGAGGATCACTTGAGGCCATGACTTTGAGAACAGCCTGGGCAACAAGAGGCCAACTCTACAAAAAATAATTAGCCAGGCATGGTGGCACAGACCTGCGGTCTCAGCCACTCGGAAAGCTGAAGCAGGAGGATCTCTTGAGCTCAGGAGGCCAAGGCTACAATGAGCTACGATCATGCCATTGTACTAGAATATGGGGGACAGACCATGTTCTTGTTTTGTCTCTTAAAAAACAAAAACAAAATCAGACCAAAGATGCGACGAACTGCTGTAATCTTACGATAAAACATGGATAAATGAGGAATTGCTTCTTATGGATAGGCAAACGTGGTTTCTTGAATGGAATCTACAGTGTTGAAATAAGGTGAAAACAGACAGGGAGGGTCTCCAGGGACTGTAGGAATTTTATTTTAAAAAAGTATAATACGTAAGTGATATTTTAATTACTAGCCCTTCTAAAGAGGAATCTAGTAAAAATACTGTACCCTAAACTTTCTAGCTGAAAGTGGGTAGAAGACCTCAAAAAAAGAAAAAAAAAAAAAAAAAAAGGCCCTAGGCTATTTAATTTCTCGGGGACAGAGGTTTCTTTCCCAGGACAGGAAAATGGCTACATATCAAATACCTCCTCCTCAGAACCAAAAAAACTTACATAAATTCTTGAAAATGGCAGGACTCTGTCATACATAAATTCCCAATTTGGGTATTTTAACAAAGCTTTTTTTATAAAAAGCTGTAAGAGGTGGAGTCAGACCCTTTTAAATAAGAGAAACAATACAACTGGGCCTTCAAAAAACTAAAAACAACTAACCAAGCAAACAAAAAGTGACTGCTGCTCCCCACTGCAGCCCCGCTTAACTTGGCTAAACCGTTTGACTTATTTGTCCCTAAAAAAGCAGGGAATAGCCAGGGGAGTACTTACCCAAATGCTAGGACCACTAAAAAGGGTGGTGGTGGCTCCATTTTTCTAACCAACTTGACATGGTGGCCAAGAAATGGCCCCCATGTCTTAGGATAGTAGTTACAACTTGCCTATTAATGAGAAAAGCTTAAAAGCCAATCATGAGTCAGACATTGACGGTCTAGGTCCTCAATTAGTTATCCAGAGATAAAACTAAAAACAGAGATATCATTGGCTTCTTGATGGGAGGATGTTACAATATAAAGTAAAAGTAAGAGACAGCCAAAGTATCCATATCAAAGTGTGCCAGGTCCTAGCCCTGCCATGTTCCTGCCCACATCCCAGGAACCCTCCCACACAAATACTTAAACCACTACTGGTAAAATATACTGTAGTCCGAAGGACCTAAAAAACAAACTCTTTCAGAACTCTGATGTTAATAAAGCCTTTGTTCGTATATTAGAGTAACATCACAGAAAGGGGCCAAGAGAAACAAGCTATATAAACAAGCTCACTTGGAGTTGAGGATACTCCAATATGATACAACACAAACGTGAACTTTACAAATGACCCTGATCCCAGACTTCCTATTCCACAGCTACCTCTGTGATCCCTGCCTAGACAGAGCCCCATCTTCAGGACAGGCGAAGGCCATCACGTCCACACAGACTCTAAGTAAGCGTTCTCTGTAAAAAAATTTACTGTAGGCATGGGTTAAACAGGCCTCCTGACTGCAGACAATAAAGAGGTTAACCATATTAAAAACATTGCAGCTATTAGAGGCAGTAGTTACCTAAAAGGGTAGGGGTGTTCTACTGCCAGGGTCACCAAGAAAATAAAAAATTCTGAAGTGATTAAAAAAAAAATAACCTAACAGACACAGCTACTAAGAAGACAACACAAACATATGAACTTTACAAACGACCCTGATCCCAGACTCCCTACTCCACAAGTACCAGCCTCAGTATTCACCTCAGGAATTAAAGCCAAATGGGAAGGGTATTTTCCAAATTTGGATTCAGAAGGATGAACTATTAACGCCAAAAAAAAAAAAGAAAAAAAAAAAATCTAGATTCCCAAAAACCTAGGGTGGGCTATAATTAAATATGGCCACACATCATCACATTATGGTAAAAACAAAACAAAAAAACCTTATGCAATTAATTAAGGTAATAAAGATACCAGATCTAAGAGATAAAGCAGACCAAGGCTCTAACAGGTGTCTCCAATTTGTACAAAATAATACTTAGATCGGGCTCCCTTACGACTCCACTAACCCAAGCTATCCAGCTGGGGTGGCATGCCAGGAAAAGACAGACAAAAAGACTACAGTGATGCCCCAGGCATCCAAACACTTCAACCTGCTAGTTGCCTTGACATGCTCAAACCTCTGACATGTACTGCTGTTGGGACCAAGAGGGCAGTAAAATGTTGTAGATTTTAAAAAGGGAACACAAACTCTCAAAATATGTGAAACCACAATCTTCTAGTTCCCACTGAGGTTAAGCTTCACCCATATTAACCTAGAGACTGGGTTCATCCTAAGACTCAAAAATCCAAATTACCGCCAGACCCACAAAACCCTGTTTGGACCATGTACTATTTACCACTCCCTCTTCTCTTAAATTTCAGGGGCTCAGATCCTAGAAGGCATCATTCCTGCATGAAGCCTGCACCACAGCCCTCAGGCCAGGCTCTACTAGGTCCAACTTACTCCTATAGCCTGGTCTCTGATCTCAGGCTTCTCTTCTGGGGAAGGGATATCACATGTAAGGAAAACGTGCCCTTGCCATACTCCTGATATATTCAAACTTTCTTCCTTATAGAACTCTCTATACTCATTATTCTTCTGTCAAAGAAAAAAATCTTAACTGGTAATAAATCACCACATAAAAAATAAACTCCTTCTCCCTTTACGGTTTAGTCCTTTTTATGACTGTGGCTGGTGGTCTCCGGAAAGACAATACACTAGTCTTTGCTTCGGATACTCCTCCCAGTGTTGTCCTCCTAACTCAGAAGCGAAATAATCAAAGTCCGATTGATCCAAGCCTGCCTTCTTGTAGAGTAGTTTGTTAGTCACCAGGCATTAAAAATATTACATAAACTTAAGATGACAGGGCAGAGGCAGGGTTTGAGAAGTTCTACTATGGGTAAAACGCTATCAAACAGTATCACATGCTACAGAGAAACTTGAGTGAAAGGAAATTAATGTGGCAAGCTCACTGTGTCATCGTTAAGAAACTGTCACAGCCGACTTCAGTAATCACCATGCTGATCAGTCAGCACCCATCAACATTGAGACAAGACCCTCTATTGGCAAAAAGATTACCACTCATAGAAGGCTCAGATGATCGTTAGCATTTTTTTTTTTTTAGCAATAATGCATTTCAAAATTATGTATGTCCACTTGTTTTTAGGAATAATGCTAGCATACTTAAAAGCATAGTGTAAATATTATGCAATGGAAAACCAAAACTTCAGAAGACTAGCTTTATCATCATACTCACTTTACTACAGTGGTCTGGAACCAAAGTAGCATTATCGCCAAGGCATACCCTGGCTACGTATTAGCAAGTGAGCTAAATTTAAGGTGGTTTCAGAAAAGTAATCATTCAATAACTTTTTTGGTCCAATAGATTATAATATTTTCCAATGAAATTCTTACCTAATCGAAAAACTGATGATGTTGACAGATGATAAGGCTTAGCTCGTTCAATGGCTAATTTTCGATGGACTCTAGGAAGGATTTTTCCATACTGGTCTAATATAGAATTTCGAGCCAGTGATCTCTCCCGCAAACGAGGATCACGATCATTCTATTAAACATATCAAAATTGGTAAAAAAAAAAATTTAACCTTCAAAATGTTAGGTGCTATAATTCTATATTTACCATTTAAAATAAAATTATGAATATCCAGAAATATCTTCCTCCTACCTACATATCCACCTTTTCCAAACCAATAACTTCATCCACATATCTAATTGCTTTATCAATCCTCACCCATCAATAAATTCCAAATCTCTGCTACCAAGCCTTGATTCTTCACAACTAATAAAAACAATGGTTATCATGTATTAAGCATCCACACTTGTCAGGCAACATTCTACTTCATACACATCTCTGTGCATCCTCAAAACAACCTCACAAAGAGATTTTATCATTTTACCGTTGATGAAACCAAGACTTACAGTGTGTCCCAAGCACAAAGAGTAAATGAACAATTAGTCTGACCCATGAAGTCAACGATCTTTGTACTACGTAAGTACCACTGCTGACCTCTGCATCCTCCTCTCCTACACAATCATCTTTCTACTATATATTCCTACTGCCGGCCTCTACACCTGCATTTTCCCTGAGTCAAAGGGCAATATTGTAGGCAGATATCAGAACATAAATGGCATACATAAAAGAATTAGGTAGTGATACCCTGTTCCCAATTCTGCTACAGAGGTGAATAGAGGATTCTGCAAGTTCAAGGTAATGTAAGGCACAGTGATTACTGAACCATTGTAAGCTCTTATATGACAAAAAAGTCTCCAGTTTTCCTTATTCTCTTATCCCCCATAATAAGACAACTTTAATCATACCATAACATTAATCTTCAGAGTTTGGTTCAGCTTCAAGGCAGGCACATAATTGGCACGCTGCAAATGGTGAACTAAAAGGAATTCATGATTCTGAACACTGGCACTGGACTGCAAAAATTTCACTAAACATTCCTAAAAAGAACAAAATAGATTGTAAACTACCAGTTCATCCTGAATTTCTGACAAGTTTATATTGTTAAGTAATTACCTGCTCAGTGTCTGTAAATGGTAACTTCAGTAAATCTTCCATTAAGCCCATTTCCTGACAGACTTCATACATGTGCTTTAGTAACTCCTCTATATTCAGCCTATTACAATGTTGCCGCAGAAAACTCCACGCCTCAACCATGCACCTGAAAGCAATATTTATTGAAGTTTAGTTTTAGAAAAGTTATTTAAATGTTCAAAACGCGTAATCTCCATGTAGAATCTCAAAGATACTTTGTAAAGTATGTTTACAAATAATTTAAAAGAACTTTAAAATTTGTTGAATACTGAGTACTGCACAATGAATCTTGTCAATCATAATAATGTCAGTAAGATGACTTGTTTAAATAATTTTATGCTGCTCTTTAGGTATAAAATAAAAAAGCAAGGAAAGTACACACAAATTCAAAGACAAAAAACTAACGTGGCCTAGACAGAGCTGAATGATTGGCATGGTGTGACAGAGGAACCTTAGGCTTTTAAAGAAGTGACACTCAGTGAGAAGCACGTGGACGAGACTGACCTACAGGCGGAAGCAGGCATACTGTGTTCAAGAGGAAGTGAAGAGTATAGCTTAGTAGCAGAAGACATTTTTTGGTTGATCTACAGCAAGATTTGATTGGAGAACTTGGGGCAAATTTGGCAGTCTTAGGCACCAGGCGGAGGTGCTGAGATATCCTTTTGTGGGCAATTAGATCATTTAAATGAAGGAGTATTTCTTACACAGATGTCTCCCAGAATCAGGTAGGAGCATTTTTTTTTCCTTTTTTTTTAAAAATGCCAGTGTTCAACTCATACCCCACCGATAGGATTGTTCTGAAGGTTCACTTGACCCTATCTATGAAAATTATAATTACATATAAGCCATGGCCCAACAATCCCAAAACAAAGAATATAATCTACAGAAATACCAGCAAAATTGCATAAAGATTAAGCATAAGAATATACAGTGAGGGCCAGGCATGGTGGCTCATGCCTGTAATCTCAACACTTTGGGAAGCCAGGGCAGGCAGATCACTTGAGCCTAGGACTTCAAGACCAGCCTGGGCAACAAGGCGAGACCCTGACTACAAAAAAATACAAAAAGCGTGGAAAGGACTGAGACCTACAGGTGGACACAAGCATTTTGTGCCAGGCATGGTGGTGTGTGCCTACAGTACTCGCTACTCAGGAGGTTGAGGCGGGGGAATTGCTTGATCCTAGGAGGTCAAGGCTATAGTGAGCTATGATCATGCCACTGCACTCCAGCCTGGGTGACAGAGCCAGATTCTGTCTCAAAAAAAAAAAAAAAAAAAAAAAAAATGCCGGGAAAAAAAGAGGCTATGATTAACCCTACATGAGGAAAATATGTATTAACTTGAAAAATCATAAAGTTTTTTAATAAGCAAGTTAAAAACCGTATGAAAGTGACAATTTAAAAAATTAACCAATAAAATTTCTGTTTATATATTTTTTAAATAGAAAAGGAAGAGTTCTGTAGATATACACTAAGAATGGTAATGATCAATCTGGCAGTTAAAATCTTTTGGAGAGGCTGACAACTTCCAAGGCATAATAAAAAACAGCAAGACTGTACTGCTCTAGACTTTCTGTGAATACAAAGATACTCAAGGAAGCAATGGCACCCACTGTTGGGAGGTCAGGGCCATCTGTTAATTTTGTTGTTTTGGGACTAGAATATTTTCACATATTCCACAGGTCTTATACAGGCCAACAACTCAAGGAAGAACAATGTATAGTGGAATTCCCTAAAAATTTACATCTAAAATTGGCTTGTACTTCTCTTTGCACCAGAAAAAGCATGACGGTGGAATCACTGTAATTTGAATGTAGAAGAGTGTTCATCTGTGTGTTCCCATGCACAGAAATACAGTAATTGATTCCTAAACCAAAATCTAGAAATATTAAAAGCAGAACATTTTTGTATAAAGAAAAACAAAGAGGATAAGATGAACATTTCATCACTAAATCCCACAAGGTTGATTTCCCTAAAGTATACAAAGCTCTATAAATCAGTAAGAAGAATCCTAACACAGAAAAAAAAGAAGTCAAAGATTTTAATAGGCAGGTCACAAAAGAAACAGTTAAGAAAGATACATTCTAGGCCGGGCACGGTGGCTCAAGCCTGTAATCCCAGCACTTTGGGAGGCCGAGGCGGGTGGATCACGAGGTCAAGAGATCGAAACCATCCTGGTCAACACAGTGAAACCCCGTCTCTACTAAAAATACAAAAAATTAGCTGGGCATGGTGGTGCGTGCCTGTAATCCCAGCTACTCAGGAGGCTGAGGCAGGAGAATTGCCTGAACCCAGGAGGCGGAGGTTGCGGTGAGCCGAGATCGCGCCATTGCACTCCAGCCTGGGTAACAAGAGTGAAACTCCGTCTCAAAAAAAAAAAAAAAAAAAAAAGAAAGATACATTCTATTATTACAGTGAGACTAAACATATTAAAACTACCATTTTCACCTATGAGATGAAGAGACAAAAAATATCTGGTATACTGTGTTGATAAAAGACACAGCATATGGTAATTGAAAGGAAATTATGTTGGCATAACACTGATGGAGGGCAATTTGCCCCATCTGTCAAAATTACAACACCAAAATTACAAGGGCAAATATCCTTTCACCCTAGGAGTTTATTCTACAAATTGGCACATGTGCAATATGTGTGGTTAGTCATCACAGCATTGTTTAAAATGGCAAAAGTTTGAAACAATTTAAATGTTCATTAAAGAGAACTATTAATAATTAGGGCCAGGTGTGGTGGCTCAAGCTTGCAATCTTAGCACGTTGGGAGGTCCAGGCAGGTGGATCACCTGAGGTCAGGAGTTCAAAACCAGCCTGGCCAACATGGCGAAAACTCATCTCTACTAAAAATACAAAAATGAGCCAGGCATGGTAGCAGGCGCCTGTAATCCCAGCTACTTGGGAGGCTGAGGCAGGAGAATCGCTTGAACCTGGAAGGCAGAGGCTGCAGTGAGCTGAAATCACTCCACTACACTCCAGGCTGGGTGGCAAAGTGAGACTCTTTTCCCCCAACCCTGCCAAAAAAAAAAAAAAAGAATTTAAAACATAATGGTACATCCATCCAAATAATGAACTACTATGTGATAGTTAAAAAGTAAATACTTTATGTATAAATTCTAAAATTAGTGCCAAACTAAATTAAGTGAAAAAGTATATTGCAGAAGGGTACACAGTCAGAAGGGTATACAGCTTGCTGTTTTTATTTTTTTTTTTAAAGGGTGTAGGGGGAAAGAAACAACATATAGACATTTGTTAACATTTGTTTAGAAGATCTTATGAAGAATACACTAGGAATTATTCACACTATTGGTTACCAGGAGGAAACTTAAGAGGTTGGGAGTATTATCATTCTTGCCTCTTAAACATTGACACATATCATGTTCTTATCAAAAACAAATACTCCATGTCTCTCCCTGAGCCCACAGACATATATTTTTAAAATTTTCCACTTTAAACTGTGATACCTACTCCCAGCTGATTAGACATACTAGCAGGAGTAAGATAAACTTAAACACTTTAAACTTCAAGAAATCCATTTCTAACACTTACAAAAATTTAAAACAAAGTCTCCAAACTCTCACTAGTCTCAGGCTTCCTACAGAAGAAAATAATGATGCTAGGTAGAACAGTAAGAAAATTATTTCAATTTATGGCAGGCTAGGCTAGCATGTTGGCAGTAAAAGATATAGAAGTCATTTTAATAAGGAAGGCATGAGGGTTCTTGGCAATACTGCAAAAACAGACTGAAAAACCATCCTGTGACAAACTCTCTAGACATGCTAGACCACATATAGACATGCATTATGAAACCCATGATGGAGACCATAATAAAAAGAGATATTTAAGAGAGGTAAACAAGCAGCCACTGATTTCTAGTGATTGGAGTAAAGTAAAAAGACCAGGAAAAGATATACACAGGATATAAATAAAAACATTGTTTGTGTAGCTACATTAACAATTATTCATGATAAAGAAGGTTACCATATAGTAATTTTAAAGGTCATTAAAAAAAATTTAAAACACGTATGCACCAATATTCAAAATACAAAATGCTTGGAATACTGTGAGGAACTGACACATCCAACCTTACGTCAGCAACTTTGCATACTTTTCTTAGTAACTTACAAAACAGACCAGGAAAAAAATTATTAAGGACACAGAAAGATTAAAATCATGCAATAAACAACCTGATCGCTGGGACAAATACATTTGACATTTCACCTATTAAATGAAGAATACACTGAGTACGTATCAGTGGATAAAGGAAGTCTTAGCAAAAAAAAAATTTATTTTTTAAATAGAGGCAGAGTCTCCCTATGTTGCCCAGCCTGGTCCTGAACTCCTGGGCTTAAGTGATCCTTCCACCTTGGCCTCCAAAGTGCTGGGATTATAGCTGAGTCACCGTGCCTGGCCATTTTTTATCATTACTTTTAAATAGATCAAGTCTTAGCAAATTTTAAAGGTCAAGTACCACGTGGATTATGTAATAATCCCATATTATGAGATTACAATACAATTTAGAAGCCATCAACACAATAATTTTTAAAACTCATTATTTATAAATTAAAACTTCTAAATCATACATAGGGAAAATAACCACAATGAAAATTTAAAAATATTTAGAACAGAATCATAATTAAAATTGTGGGATGCTGCTAAGGTGCTATGCAGGACATTCAGATTTATATTTTTATGTTACTGAAGAAAAAAGGCTGAAAATGAAGCAATCGTCCAACTTGAGTGAAAAGTACAGCAAAATAAACCCACATACCATAGAAAGAGGAAAAACAATTATGCCTATACAAACATTTTTCAGCTTTCTTATACATTTATGATCCTAAGACTGAACAATTAATGCCAGTAGCTGAACTGTCTACAACCTTCATGTATAAACTGATCACTGTACAGAATGCATTGTGGTTAATTTTCAAGTAAAACAGCCATGCCAGTTGTGACAATATGTCCATACATATAGCGCATGATATTGAAAAGCTACCAGTATGAAGTTTTAGAGAACTGCGAAGATGCTCTTAATGAGGAAACTCAGGTTCAGAGAGGATAACTCAACTGCTTTTGATCATATTTCAGAAAGTGGCATAATTTAAATTCAAATCTATTTGAGTCCAAACATCTTGCTCTTAACATCTTTGCTACAATAAGTGGCTGTTTCAGTAACATTGTTTGTAAGGGTGCAAATTAATAAGCAATCTAACATAAATTAATCAAAAACAAGGCAAAACGTCACTAGCACAGGGTGAGTCGGGAGAGTGTTACTGTTTGATGGTTCAAATATTAAAACTTTTTCAGCCATTTCAACTATATGCAATCAAATCATTTCGGTGTTAGACTATTATGCAGCCTAACCTCTCTTTTAGTTCAAATTTCCCAAATGTAGCCTCTATCCATGGTTCAAGGATACTGATTAAACATTGTTGGGCTAGAGATGTAGGTATCTGAACCAATTAGGTGATCACGTATGACAACAGGACATACTCAGAAACTTTGTTTTCTTGAATAAGTCCCTGTAAATCAGCTTGTTTTCTTATTTGCTTCATTCTGATAAAAGTGAAGTGTAAAGTATGTTGTTACATAATCTCCCGGGCAATAAACATGGCTGCCTTTTGCAAAATGATCAGTTCAAGTATTAAAGCACCTTTCTCCTAAGATGTTTCAATAAAAATTGGCACCTTCACTTTCAGCAGTGTTCTCTGACTTCTTAGTCATTCTCTCTTTACAGGACTTGTAATTATTTTGAAACATTTCTTAAAACTGAATACAAGCAATCTCACAAATAGCATTCTGAGTGGTTTTTATTTCTTAATTTAATGTATAGGAGCCGTAATGTTCTAGTTTTCTGGGGACTGGATAATTGAGACTTTTTCCAACTTGAGAGAAATAAGGTTTAGAAATTAAACTATTAGTGCTTGTTAACTATATATATGGCTAAGGTAAAGGAAATGAGAACCTAGCGTTATCAGGGAAACATGCTCTGGTAATTAAAGGAAGACACTTGGAATCAATAGAAGAAAAAATCAGCAACCTTCCAAAGATGTTTCTTCCAAAGTTCTAACACCTGCCCTTCTGATGTAAGTATTAGTGATTAAGTGCCAACTCTTTAACATCACTGAAGAGCGTGAGGTGGGCCGGACGCGGTGGCTCATGCCTGTAATCCCAGCACTTTGGGAGGCCGAGGCGGGTGGATCACGAGGTCAAGAGATCGAGACCATCCTGGTCAACATGGTGAAACCCCGTCTCTACTAAAAATACAAAAAATTAGCTGGGCATGGTGGCACATGCCTGTAATCCCAGCTACTCAGGAGGCTGAGGCAGGAGAATTGCCTGAACCCAGGAGGCGGAGGTTGCGGTGAGCCAAGATCGCGCCACTGCACTCCAGCCTGGGTAACAAGAGTGAAACTCCGTCTCAAAAAATAAGAGTGTGAGGTATGTGCAACCGAAAAAAAAAAGTGTATGTTGGTTTCCAACACAGTGCTAGAACTCTTAGCCCCTGCTGAATCCAACAGTTATCACATTTAGCTTCTTTAAATTATTTTGTTCTTAGAGTAAATCTTCTGGAAACTACAGTTTTGATCTCATAAAAAAATTTCCGTATTGATTCTAGATTTATTAAGCTAGCTAAACATTTTCGCTAAGCCAGATTATTTCAACAAGTACTTCCCTAATTCATTACTGTTAAGGTTCTATATGTCCAGTCAATCTATTATTAAACTTCAAAACTTTTCTTTTGCCTGAAATTTGTAGATCTTACCCTCTCTCTCTTATCCTTAGAAGTACATGCTATTTAACCAAAGAGAACAAAGAAAACATAACTTTCAGCATGCTGACACAGAAGTGGTAACTGGTTCAAATATAACACAGTGAGGTAAAGTGACTAATTTCTAAAAACATAAAAATGATCAAGAGGGTTGAATCGAACCAATAAAAGTAGTACAAAATAAATCTAGTAAGGAATTTCAGCTCCAAGCAATTTCTGCAGCTTAGTTCATAAGAAAACCCAATAACCGTACCACTGTACTTCCAATCACACCATTTAGCTGTCAAAGTTACTATGCAGCTGAGACTATAATAAGCATTATGTAAATGGAAAATATACTTATTAGAGAACATCAAAATCCTGCAAAAGGAAGAAACAAAGGTATCACTTGCCCAAATCTGGTTGAGGTATTAAGACATGAAACCAGACACTTCCTTAAATCAAGATTTAAGATTTTCTTTCTGTGAGGATGCAATGGGGCAAATGCAATGACAAAATTCAAATACAAACAATTCCAATACTCAAGCAACCAATCTTAACAGAAATATCAAAGTACCATCACTGAACACAAACTCTCCATTTGCCACCTCTATATAACTTCATTCTTCTCTATTCTTCACTTCTTTTCAGCATACTAAACCCTCAGCTGTCCATGAAGGACAACCGTCAGTGCTGTCAATTAGCAACATAGAGAACCATAAATCTCAATTTGGCACCCCTACCTTGTACTCAAGGTACTTATCTTATTCTAGATAAAAGGTGTTATATGTTTCTCTTAACACTGAAAGACCAATAAACATACGAATATTAAGTAACACAATGAAAGTAAAATATTCTACAGCTGTCCTCACTATCCTTGAGGGGACTGGTTCCAGAACCCCCATGGATACCAAGATCCTCACATACTAAGTTTCAAAGTTGGTCTTCCTGCAGAGCCCATGTATATGAAAAGCTGGCCTTCCATATATGCAGGTTTTACATCCCATGAATACTGTATTTTAAACCTGCATTTCATGCAGAACCCACTAATACAAAGTACTGACTTTACTGACTTAAGGGTCAACTGTATATTGTCTATTTCATCAATTCCATTTTATTAACAGATATGATAAAGAGTTTATACTTTCAAAAGATGTACTTACCTATTAAAAAGCAAAACAGTAAGGTGAAGGGTAACATCACTACCACTGCACACCGCTGGCTTCATTGTCTGAATGTACCTGAGGGCTCGTCTGTGCTCGCCCTGACTCATGAATGCCTGAATAATCTTTGAGTGTTGCCATGACAAAGGTTTCGCAGTAGCTGGATGAAACAAAAGATCCAAGCCACTCTGGAAATAACATGAAAAGTGTTCAAGACAAGCATAATCCCATACAAGTAGCTAAACCCCACACTAAAAACCACAAAAACCAAGACAAGACCAGTTTAAACATAGGCTGGAAAAAATCTACTTTAACCTGTGTTATATAGAGTTGGCCCTCAGAATCTACAGGATCCATATCTGCAGACTGAATAAATGCAGACAGAAAATATTTGAAAAAATAAGGCTGAGCATGGTGGCTCATGCCTGCTGTAATCCCTGCACTTTGGGAGGCCAAGACAGGCGGATTGCTTGAGCTCAGGAGTTCAACATCAGCATGGGCAATGCGGCAAAACCCCATCTTTAAAATGAACAAAAAAAAGTTTTTAGAAAAATTTACAAGGCTAGGTGTGGTGGCTCATGCCTATAATCCCAGCACTGTGGGAGGCTGAGGTGAGCAGATCACTTGAGGCCAGTTCAAGACCAGCCTGGCCAACATAGTGAAACCCAACTCTAGTAAAAATATAAAAATTAGGCAGGCATGGTGGTGCATACCTGTAGTCCCAGCTACTCGGGAGGCTGAGCCAGGAGAATCACTTGAACCCAGGAGGCAGAGGCTGCAGTGAGCCAAGATTGCGCCACTACACTCCAGCCTGGGAGACACAGCAAGACTGCATCTCAAAACTAATAAATAAAAATGAAAAGGATTACTTAAAATACCCAATGAAATGTAAATACCACTTAAATAACTGTTATATTGTAATGTCTAGGGACTCATGACAAGAAAAATGTCTGTACATGTTCAGTACAGACACAGTATTTTCCCCTCAGTATTTCTGATGTGTGGTTGACTGAATCCATGAATTTAGACTCCATGAACACAGAGGGCCAATAGTATACAAGAGGATGTGCACAGGATAGAAGCAAATACTATGCCATTGATTATAAGAGACACGAGCCTCTGAATTTTGGTATGTTTCTGGATCCTGGAACCAATTCCACACAGATACTGAGTGATAACTGTATTTTATTTTAAAAATAAAAGCCTTATCAAAAACCTGATACCTTTGAGACCCTATTACACTATTTTATAAGATCTTCCCATCACAAGTTTCATACATCAAAGCCTAATCTTGCCTTCTATGGTTCACTCAACACCCCAAACATATCTCCAATATAACAATCACTGTACCTATCCTATCATAATTATTTACTTAGTAGTTTCCTTCTTTAAACAGTAAGAAACCTGGGGTTCTGAACTGTTAGCTTTATATTCTTGGCTTAAAAATAGTGCTTGGTGAAGGTACTATTTAAAGTGAGACTTTCTTCAACTACCTCTGGAAGTAGACTGTATCATATCTTTTAATATCAAATTTAAATTATGTGTATTGTCTAAAATTCCAGTAATTTATGAAAGTTTATGCTGTAAGTGGATAGACTTACCTCATAGTCATTATGATCTATTAACCAAAACCCCTGAATAAGTTTAACTTGGCCCCAAGAAATGGCAAATACAGTTGGGAAAGATTCAATTGAAGTATCCGTTTTGTTGGGAAAGGAATACATAATATCAAGTAGAAAATAAATGGCCTTTTAAAACGTGGATTAAGGACAACAAACAACAACAACAAAAACCTCCTACATATATATTTAGAATAGGTAGCAATGAAATGTAGCATTAAGAGACTTAAAAGACCTCTTTTCAGTGTTTAGAAAGCCATCATGGACAGTCAGCAATGAGAAGTTTTAGTAAATGTGGGTACAACCCGTCCCACACCAACTCCTTTCATTCTCAGTATTTTATTACCCGTATCACAAAGGACATAAAGCATATTTTTATGAAATCAGCAGCTTAATAAATACAAGAAACAAAGATATATGCAAAATTCTAGTGATGCAGCAAAAGATGGCAGCAGTGGCAAATATAACCTAGCTTATAAACTATAAATGGAATTATACATTTTTAGACTATGCAAGTAACATTAGCACAAAAATATTATCACAAAGACTACAGGACTCAAATAATGCTTAAGGTACTAATACACTAACTGATAATGTATTCATTTCCAGCACATAGGTTAATGCCACTGAGAATGATCATTTGGTAGTAGCATTTTAGAGCAACTGTTGTTACTTTTTGAGAGTCTAAGACACATTTAAGAATCTGATAAAAGCCAAGTACCCTATCCCTAGAAAAACAAATCTAAAACAAAAGTTTGCATATAATTTTAGGTTAATCATAGGCCATCTGGGCTCAAGCAACAGATCCTGGGTTAACATCTCTTAAAAAAAAAAAAACAAAATTCAATCTTGAAATTGAGATTAGATATCAGGCTTCTACTACTGTGAAATTTATAATTTTAATAATACAGAAACACTGGATAAAATTTAAAAAGATACAATAGAATGTTTGGCTGCTTCAGTAATGCCGTCTAACAGGTACATATCAAGTAGTGCCTGTAAAACAAAGGGATAAAACCTTCAGTACATTTTATGCAGTCATTCATTCATTCATGCTCCTTGTTTTCCCCAGTCTGTGCCAGAATACAGCTAAGCATGTTTCCTCCCTCCCCAACTTTATAGGTTGTAGGTGATAGCACATTACTGCAAACCTACATGTAGACTAGGAGGAGGGTATCTTCCTGTGCCTCCTCCATCTCGTTTCCACAACTTCTCAATTCGCTCTCCTAACTGAGAAACCAGTCCATCGATCATCAAGCAATCAGGGTTCCACTTCCCTCTGCAATCAGGGAAAAGTTAAGACTTATTTAATATTACCGTTAATTAATATCCAAACAACCAGCACAACTATCAAAGAGAGAAGAGGCCAGGCATGGTGGCTGATGCCTGTAATTCCAGTGATTTGAGAGGCCGGGGCAGGAGGACTGCTCAAGGACAGGAGTTTGAGACCAACCTGGGCAACACAGCAAGGCCCAATTTCTAAAAAAAAAAATAAAAGTTAGCTGGGCATGGAGGTGTGCACCTGTCGTCCTAGCTACTCTGGAGAATGAGGAAGGAGGATTGCTTGAACCCAGGAGTTCAAAGTTAAAGTGAGCTATACACATGCTACTGCACTCCAACCTGGGCGACAGAATGAGACCCTATCTCTAAAAACAGAGAGACAGAGAGAGAAAGAGAGAAGAGAATTGGGAATTGGACCCTAGTTAGCATGACGAGAACTACAGACATCAAGAGTTAGTCAGATAAACTCTTAAGCTGCCTCAAGTTCAGTCATCAGCAAGCCGGTAACAGCAAGCCAGTCAGTCAGGGTGAGGTCCCAGGGGAGAATGTGGTCCAGCTAGCCAGTGACCATTCTATTTTTCACCATATTAAGCAAACTACCATAAAGCCCGGTGCAGTGAAAATACTAAAGTTCAAAGTCAAAGAGTTATAGTTTGTTTCATCACTTGGGTTAGCCTTTCATCCTCAGTGATTCCTTCACTCAGAAATATATTACTGAGTGCCTACGATGTGATATGCAGATACTGTCCCTATGTCCTTTCCTTTTTCTTTTTTCCCCTGTATTTTCTTTTCTAATTGTGAAAAGCAGCAGCACTTACTACCTTTTGAGGCTGTCCAATGAGTCAGGCATTATACTAGCTGCCCTGCACATATTTTATTTAGCTTTATACTGACTTTGTAGCTTGTATAACAAATAGGATTAGAAAGCATAACAAAGCTGCCAAGGATATACACTTAGGAAATAACAGATCTAGAATTTTAAAATATGCCTAAGCAATCTCCCAAGCTAATGTTCACTGTTATTCTACAGCACTGGTTTCCACAATTGCCATGCATCAGAATTACAGCTGGCATAGATTTTAAAGTACTTGGTGATTCAGGTGTAAGAAACCTGGAATCAACATTTGTGAATCGCTGCTCTAAATGTTATATGCTCTGTAATTTTGTCATTGCAACTTTAGGAAGAAGACTATTTCCAGAAGTGTGGTCAAGACTCTAAGCACCGCTCTTTCTTCGTCTATTACCTTTACTTCTTTATTTCAAAGGAACTAAGTAGCTCATTCATGTGTTCTTTTTTTTAAACATGAAAGAAAGAAAATAGTAATGGTAGTATCAAATTCTGATACTTTACTGAGAATTCTATCCATTCAATCACTTTGTAACATGATGAACACTGTTCTGAGAAAGTCTGACTTCTTACAGACATAACTTCTAAAATGGGTTTTACTATACCTTGATAAACGCTCAAACTTCTGTCGCCGACTGGTGTAGTAGTTCTGAATGACGGGGTAGTTGTAGCATAACCTTGACAACTGCACAGCATCATCTAGATTTTTAAGAGTTGGAAAAAAAGCTGGTAGTATTTCCAAAATATCTCAACAATACATATTAATACTTTACTGTAATTTTATAGTTATAGCAACCCCCAGTTAACCCACAGGGTTGTTATATTTAAGTAATAAAAGATTACTACATATCTTTTTATTTATAGATGCACAAGCGAGAAAATGATCTGTCATGAAAGTCTGTAACAACAAGGATGCCGGCTTAAAATCCTGAAAACTGTTCTAAATAATTTTACTCCTTAGGCACAAATAATAATTTGAAACCAAGAAATGTTCACTACAAATCAAAATCTAAGAGAATTATGAAAAAATAAGATCAATAATTATGTACAGTGGCAGAGACACTTCTAAATAAAATCTAATGGCTTCCTGGAAATCCAAGAAGTTGAAGACTTTAGAAGTTATATTCTAAACAAATACAGCACAAGTCAAACACCAAGAATTCTCTAATTCTTGGTACTGGCATAAATTATTAGATAAAACAGGTTATTTAATTGAAGAAATATTAGTTAGTAACCATATTAAAAAGACCATTACCAGGAAACAGGCAAATTGTGTCACAGAAACTATAGTTCTATGGATCTATCATAGCTAGTAATATTGCTGAACTCATTTTCAGGAGCCATGTTCTCAAATATGCTTTCCTTCTAAATGTTACTCAATCCAGTAAGTGTGTTATGAGCACTGTGTATCAGGCATGGGATGAAGAAAAAAGTAAGGAAGAAAGTAAGAAAAAAAGGAAGCACAGGAGAAAAAACTAAGTGAGGTAGAAGAAAGGAAATCCAAAGCATTAGAATACAATAACAAAATCATAATGACTCAGAATGTTTCAATTTATACACATAGATTAAGTAAATATTTTACCTATGCCTTCTGGTAAAAGCCCAGAATGAGAGAACCAAAGCAGCACTTGTGCATACTGACAGATGAGGTGGGAAACCACAAACTTATTGCTTAAGTCTATCAGTCCTGTAAAAAAGAGTTCACATCAGTTGTTTAGCTACAAAAAAAAAAATCAAGATGCTCCAGTGTTCAAAATTAATCACTTGCTAATTTACAAATGTATATTATATATGTAATATATATGTGATCAAGATATATCTAGTTTACTTTGGTCCAAAATAATGTCAAGCAAATCTTCAAAATGCTAAAATAAATAAGTCACTTCCTAAAATAGACATTTTAGGTAAATACGCTTCAACCTCAGCTACACTTCCATTTACCTAATTCTAGAACTCAAATTTACTAATACAAATTAGCATAAGGTCACTAATACAGACTGTTCAAAACAGGCCTTTACATGAAATTGGCTTGTTTGGGTTCTGAAATTGCAAAACAGAAAAAAATTATAATAACTTATTTGAATAAAAACCATACATATGATTTAACAATTTGAAACTTCACTGGAAATACATTAACCTTAATAATCATTAACTTCAGAATTTCCCAAGCTCATTTAAGCATGGGCTCATGGCACATCTAACAACATTCCGTAGCTTTTCATTAAAACAAAGAAACAAACAAAAACCCTAGCACTGGAGAAATAACGTCCTCTTTACATAGTGATCCATCTAAGTCATGGGAAATGTATTTGTTTCCATAAGTCAAGAAGTAAAATTTAATAAAACACTCATTTGATAAAACAGCATACCTCTCTCAGTGATCTCTCGGGCTTCTGATGCAAAACAGTTCAAGACTATATTAAGATTGCTAAGAAGCACATAACATTGCTGGATAGACTGTATAGTCTGTGGATCCATGAAATGACGCGAACCATCAAATAATGGCACACCTTTCAAGAATAAAATATAAGTTTCCATACATTAAATCTAAGCAAAGTAGATTCACAATGCAAAATATCTCAAACTTCTAACACTCAAAAGAATTACTCTATTCATTATGAGATTTATAAAGACAAGCTAGAAATGGCAAAACTTTCAATGAACCTAAAAAGTGCTTTTAATATAAAACCAGCAAAAGAGTGAGAATATGAACTCAAATAATCTACATCTAAAAACAACTGTTTTAATTCTAAAATCTTTCTTTAAATCAAATTCTATTTTGCTTTACTTTTTTCTTTTTTTGGGAGATAGTGTCTTGCTCTGTTGCCCAGGCTACAATGGAGTGGTGTGATCTTGGCTCACTGCAACTTCTCCCTACCAGGTTCCAGCAATTCTCCTGCCTCAGGCTACCAAGTAGCTGGGATTAAAGGTGTGCACACCCAGCTAATTTTTGCATTTTTGATAGAGATGAGGTTTCACCATGTTGGCCAGGCTGGTCTCAAACTCCTGACCTCAGCTGATCCACTGGCCTCAGCCTTCCAAAGTGCTGAGATTACAGGTGTGAGGCACCACACCTGACCTTATTCGCTTTACTTCTAATACTTTTTTTTTTTTTTTTTTTTGAGACAGGGTCTCTCTGTCACCTAGGCTGGAGTGCAATGGTACGATTACAGCTCACTGCACTCAAACTCCTGAGCTCAAGTGCTCCTCCTAGCTCACTGGAGCTGGGACTACAGGCATGTGCCACCACACCCAGCTAATTAAAACAACACTTTTTTTTTTTTTTGAAGAGATGGTTGGAGGTGGTCTTGCTATGTTGCTCAGGTTGGTCCTGAACTCCTGGCCTCAAGCAATCCTCTCATCTTAGCCTCCTGAAGTGCAGGGATTACAGGCCTGAGCCAGCATGCCTAATCTCTCATACATTTAAAGCACTTAGTATGCTTTCTATTTTAATTATTCTTAGAAGTTTTTCTTTAAAAAAAAAAAAAAAGAAAAAGACAACATACCAGGAATAAAGCTCAAAGCAGCTTAAACAGCTGAACTGCCAAGTTAAAACCCAAAGCACTGCACTATGCTCAAAGAATAACAAAAGCCATGCAATTTATTAATTGAGCTGAATTTCTTTTTACAAAACATATAATGAGCTCTGATAAACATTTTCCTCTTAAAAAAAAAAGACATTTTTACTCTGATCCTAAATTATCAAGTGTTCTTCCAGACTTCAATTGTACTGATTACTGAAATACTTAAATTATTTCACGCCAATAATTTCATAAGTATAGCCTACAAATACTAGAAAGCTCCACGTTTTCCTACCAAACTTGATTGGTTTAAAACTCCTCTACTAAGAATAACTTACATTGTGAAAAGCTATCTATAGTCAAATGATTTCAAAAGTCCATTTGCTTATTCATCATGACACAATAGAAATGACTAAACATGTATCTAAATAAACTTATATTTTACTTTCACTTACAGCGCAACTGTCTAATTACTAGTACTTTTAGCATTATTTTTGCACTAACTGGACATGATAGGATTTTGATATTCATGACATACCTCAAGATTTAATCAAAATGTACAACAGACTAATAAAACTGTCAAGAAGAAAAAGGATTTGCCATGATGATAATAACATCTGTCCGTGGAGGATAGTGGTAATACATTTTTACCCTGCCATTCAACTTCATCATTTCTATCAATATTTTAAATAGAAAGTGAGTAAGTACAGAAACTTCTGAGGGTTACAGGGTTACCTAGCACCTTCTCCTTACTCCATCATCAGTATATTTAATAAATTAAACTCCCAAGACCAAAAGACAAGTTATAACCCTAAAACCTGTTATTGTAGGCATGCATATCAGCATGTTGCCAGTTTAACAACCTGCTGCGAAATCTTGGTCAAAAATTACTTTGGGCTGGATGCAGTGGCTCATGCCTTGTAATGCCAACACTTTGAAAAGCCCAGGCAGAAGGATCACTTGAGGCCAGAAGTTGAAGCCTGGCCTGGGCAATAAAGAGAGACCATGTCTCTACAAAAAATAGAACAATTAGCTGGGCGTGGCAGCATGTGCTTGTGGTCCAAGCTACTCAGGAGGCTGAAGCGGAGGCTGACTTGGGCTCGAGAAAGGTCAAGGCTGCAGTAAGCCATGAACTCACCACTGTTCTCCTCCTGCCTGGGCAATAAATGAGACCGTGTCTCAAAAAATAAATAAATAAATAAATAATAAAAAAGAAAACAAAAGAAAAAAAAATTACTTTTCTCATTTTAATGTAAAAAGAAATAATTTTCTTGTGGGACACTTCAAATTTTAAGAGTTTACAACTTCAAAATGATTAAAAATTATGTATTTAAAACATAAACCAAGATTAGTGTTTTAATATTAAATTCTGCCCTATATCTAGAATTGTAATACTTACATAGTCTGTCAAACTCCTCTTTTGTGAGAACCACTTTATTCCACGTCCATTCAAGAACAAAGCGCAAATTAGCAGCAGAGTTTGGTTGTTCTTATTTGTAAATACAAAAGGAAAAAATAAAGATTATTGATTACAGACAGAATTCCAAATTTTCAGTGGAAAAACATGGCATACAGCACCCTAACCAAGTGAACATCAACACTTAATGGCGGCAAATTGATTCAGTGTACCCCCCACTTCAGTGCATCACATCAGGGAGCACGTCATTTTAGGTACTACTGCCATCAAAAACGTAAAAACTCTAATTTCATCATGAGGAGAGACTGGTACACACAAACTAAACGGCTTAAAATTTAAATTTATTTTATAGACCGATTTCTTTAAAAAAAAAAAAAAAAAAAGCCAATTTTTTGAAAGACAAAGTGACAAAATGTAGAAGATCAACGGAAATTATAAAAACAAATACAAAGCATTCTGGATCTCTTTTCCAAAATACTAAATACAAGCATGATTCTGAACTCTCTCTCTGCTCTAAATCGCTATAAAGAATATTACTGGGATTTCAATAAGGTCTCTAGATTAGATAAAGTCTTGATTTTCTTGAGTTTTCTTTTTAAATGATCACAAAGTGGTTTTGTAAGAGAGTGTCCTTATTCTTAGAAGAAAGAAAAACCAAAATATTTATGGGTTGAAAAAGAGTGATATCTTATAATCAAATGGTTCAGAAAAAAACTATCCTCAAATGGTTCTGAACAGAAGATATTATGTGTTTGAGATGTGCGTGTATATGTGTGAAGAGTAACAGTGATGCAGACAATAATTTGGATGAATTACTAGAGAATTTTGCTTAATAAAAAAGGTAATCCCAAACGGTTACATACTGCATAATTCCATTTATGAGTATGTTTAAAATGACAAAATTATAGAAAGAAAATAGATTCGTGGTTGCCAGTGGTTAAGGATGGGGCAGAGGGGAGGCAGGTATGGCTACGAAAGGGCAACATGAGGGATCCTGATTGTGATTACTGCACTAAAAAGATTTGTCAGATCATACCAGTGTGGGAAAATGTGCTAAAGGGTGCGGAATCTCTCCGTTATATCTTACAACTGTGTGTGGATCTACAATTATATCCAAGTAAAAATAACTAAGAAAAACATACAACAAATTGTGAACTGATAATTTTAAAAATACCAAACATTTTAATTGTTAAAAACCAGAATCTTACCTTCTGTTATCCATCTTCTGATATAACCAGTCAAAAGTCCCAGGGAACTAGTCTGAATTGCTGCCGACAATATAGCTTCTAACTGTTCTTCCTAAACCATGCATTATAAAAACGAAAGAAATGGAAAGAAAGAGGGTGTGAGATCATAGGCAAGTTCTGGTTCAGAATAAAAAAATCTTAAGGCCAAAAAAAATCAGTATAACCCATAAGAATGGCTATAATCAAAACAATAACCAGCACTGGTAAGGATGTGTTAAAACTGGAACTCTCATACACTGCTGGTGGGAATGTAAAATGGTACAGCCACTTTGCAAAATGGCAGTTTCTCAATGTGCTAAACGTAGAGTTACCATATGACCCACCAATTCCACACCTAGGTATATACCGAAAAGAAAGAAAAATACACGCCCCCAAAAAAATTTCACATAAAGGATCACAGCACCATTATTAATTAATAGCCATAAAGTGGAAACAACCCAACTGCCCATTAATTGTAGATAAACAAATTACGGCATACTCATACACTAGAATATTACATAGCCATAAAAGGGGGTGATGTTCTGATACTTGCTGTAACACAGATGAACCTTGAAAACATGCTAAATGAAAGAAGACAGTCACAAAAGACTACATATTATTTGACCCATTTATATGAAATGTCTAGAATAGGTCAATCTATAAAGACAGAAAGTACATTAGTAGTTATTTAAAGCTGGGTGGGATGGGGCAGGCAGGAAAACAAGGGAAAAGTGGTGACTATTTATAGGTACAGAATTTTCTTTAGAAGTAATAAAAATGTCCTAAAATGGAATGTGATGACAGTTGCAGAATTCTGTGAATTTCTTTTTTTTTGAGACGGAGTTTCGCTCTTGTTACCCAGGCTGGAGTGCAATGGCGCAATCTCGGCTCACCGCAACCTCCGCCTCCTGGGTTCAGGCAATTCTCCTGCCTCA